AAAAATAGCAATGGTAAACCCTGCTGCCTTTCTTCTGAAGAGCTCAAGATTTTCTGGCATTATCTAACTAATTGTTTCTTCATGGCTGTGAGGGAGAGGGGAAGTCGTTTTCATTCCTTCTCTGTAAATGGGGTGTCTGGGGCCAGTGAGGTGACTGTGACCAAAGCCACTAGTCCATCGTCTGACTCCATAGATTCTGGGGTGGGGCCAAGTAATGTGCATTTTCCCAAACTCATCAGGTGTCATTGTGTCACTGGGTTTGGGAACTGTTGCATTTGGAACCTTGTTATAGTCACACTGACTGGTCTAATTGTTTAAACCCATGCAAAGCATCTCATGTACTGCTCTTTATGAAATATTTTTAATCTTTACAAGAGGATATGCCTACTGATCTTAAGGAGAGGGGAAGGGGAAGGGAGGGAGTAAAGGAGATTGAGTTGAGAGAGAGAGAGAAAGAGAGAGAGAGAGAGAGATATCAGAAAACATTGATTGGTTGCCTTCCATAAGTGCCCTGACTAGGGATTGAACCCACAACCTAGGTATGTGCCCGAACCGAGAATTAAACCCTCAGCCTCTCTGTGTACGGGACAGCGCTTCAACCAACTGAGCCACATGAGCCAGGTCTCTTTATGGAATTTTTGTGTTCTTTGAAATGTTAGTCCTTCACTCCTAGGCTGGCTAAATTGGGGATATTCTGGCCTTTCTTGGCCATGATTGATCTTCCTGCTTCTGGTTTTCTGTGCTAGTTGATTTGCCTCATTGGGTGCAGGTGAGTCCTGTCTTTTGGAATCAAAAGGTGGGCCCATACTTGTGATGATCAATAGGCAAGCTCTGGGAAATGTCAGAAATAGGTCAAAGCTCCTCTCTGGATTCTTTCCTCTTCCTTTGGGCCCTGCTAGCTCTGGTATCATGAGATTTCCCACTGTGCTCTACCCTGGTTTGTCCTCTCTATTAGCACAAATTGGTCTCTAAATGATAAAAGAATATAAAATACCTGACTTTTCCCTCTCTTTGAAATACTTTGGTCCTAGGCCTGATTTCCTCAGTGACTGGGCGGTTAGCTAATTTGAACTATTGGGTTCATGGAGAAAAAGTGGAAATATTAGATATATATTGCTGCAAAACAAACTAACCCAACAATGAGTGGCTTAAAGCAACAAACATTTATGAACTTCATCGTTTCTTTGGGTCAAGAATTTGGGAGGAATTTAGGTGGATGGTCTTTCATGAGGTTGTAGTCAGGATATTGGCTGGGGCTTCAGTCATCCCAAAGCTAGACCACAGGTGGAGGATCAGCTTCCAGGGTGGCTCACTCCCATGGTTAGAGGCTGGAGACCTCAGTTTCTCTCCTGGTAAGCTCTTCACAGGGCCGAGTGCCCTCATGGCATGGCAGCTCGTTTCCTTCACTGTGAGTGATATAGAAGAGTGTACAGAAGAAGTCACACCCACCTTTTATGTCCTAATTTCAGAAGCCACGGGGTCTTACTGTTACTTCTACCACATTCTTTTAGCTAAAAGAGTCACTAAATACTTAGGAGAAGGGCAATTTGGCTCCACCTTTTGAAGGATGAAGCATCAAAGAAATTATGGATATGTTTTTAAATTACCCCAGTGGATAACCCTTTAGTTTACTAACTCTTCCTTAAGTTGTTCAAAGCTTAATACACTTTAGAGCTCCCTTCTCTGACCTATGACTTTAGAGAGGGCATAACGGGGACATTTCAGTTTCTGGTTGATTTTTCATACCCTCTCCTATCTGTGATGTACACATCAGCACGTACACACACACTCACATGCACGCAGTCACCCTTGCTGGTTCTGGACCAGGTCCGCATCTGGTGAGTCATCTGAGCACTGCTGCAAGCAAAGCTCCTCTCCCACAGGGCCTCCCCCACCCCCTTTCCCAGTCAGGCCTGGTCTCTCTGGTTTCTGACTTTCATGTTGAATACTTTATCCTGGTAATCCTATTCTTTGTCCTGAGTTTGGCCTGGAAGAAAAGCAGAGCAAGAATTGGAGTGACATTTGTGAGAAGGAGGAAATCTTTTCCTTCCGCCTATGTATTCAGGAGTTGTGATATCCCCTATATCCTAGCAACAGTCTTGGAGGTGAGGCAATGCTTTGTGAGAATCAAAGCAAGTCTGACTGTAGCTGCATGAGTATTGAAAAGGCCTTTGAAAGATGAAAAAAAGTGCCAATTATATGTCTTTGAATTGGATTCCATCCAAGCCCTCCCTGAAGGAATCCCATTTGCCTGGTGTCTGAAAAGGGACCGGGAGGGGAGGAAAGAAGCCTGGAATGAGGCAAGGACTGCCCGAGCACAAGGAGCAATGCCTTTTGTCACAGAATGATATCTGTTTCCCAGGTAAGGTCAACGAAATGAGACAGATGGATAAACCAAGGATTATGGCTTTGTCACGCTTCATCAGGACATCACACGTTTAAGGCTTGTAAAGCACCTATGAAAATTGCCATTAATCAATGCTGACGAGGAACAAGAAAGTTTCTCTGTGTAGGTCAGATATGCCAAGGAAGCAGCAACAGAAATTGCCCTAAGGAAGAGACTCACTTCCAAACTCTCCTCTGCGTCTAGTGTGAGGAAGACCTGCTTTTGTAAGCCCCTGGCATGAAGATCTCATTATATTTTAAGAGATATAGGAAGAGTGTTGCTGATTAGGAGGTGGCATGTTTTATAAGATTCCATGGGTGGAATCTTCCTTGGTTTATTATTTCATTTGGGTGTGTTTATAAGGGACGTTAATTAGGAAGAGCAGGTGGCACTGTGCTAAAGCATCCTTTTCTGAATTGTTGAGTGCCAGGCATCAAAGCAAGGCCTGTTACTTGCATGATTTTATTTAACCATTATATCAACCCAGAGAGGTAGCTTACTATTTGTTCTATTTTTCATAGGTGAAAATTTTTTGAGTTTTAGGTAGGGTAGGTAATTTACCCAGGGTAACACAGCTAGTAAGTAGCCAAACCAGAACTTAATGTTGCTTGAAGTGAGAAGGTTATAGAAATCTTCCATTTCCCAGGTGGAATGGTTTTAGGCTTTTCTGGGAAGTGGTGAAATGACCTCTGCCTTTTCTTAGCATCTTAGTCCATAAAATGGGCTAAAGGCTGGATTAATGTGGGGATCAAATGAGATATGTTAAAGTATTTCTTAAACTGGAAATTATACTTTAAATATAAGGCATTATGTTCTCCCTTCATTTAGAACCTGCTTTGTGGGGAACCGATATAGGGTTGAGCCTCGGACTGACCTGCTGGCAAAATAAAAAACAAGTCCCAGCTTAGAGGGCTCAGGCCTCTTAGCTTAATTAGACTTGACCTTATAACACTCCCTAGATCTTATCTGGGAAGCTAATGGGCTGAGGGAAGTGCAGGAAGTATAACTATAGTCAAAACAAGTGAAACTCACAAGAACTGTGTAACTATGGTGACCACTGCCTTGTTTACCTCTGACTATAAAAGGTTGGTGTGGCCTGAGCACCCAGTGGAGACTTACCTGTCTGGCTCCCTATATTCCCAAATCATCTCCTCTCTTCTCTTTCATTTGTATGTGGCTCCTCTTCCAGATCCTGAACCCTGAACCACGTGGGTCGTGGAGGGAAACATTTACAACACTGCTTCAAGAGTGATCAGTAATGAATATGGCATTGGTTTTGGTTGTGTCCAGGGCATTCTATTAAGACTGAATGTTGCCCTCACTGGTTTGGCTTAGTGGGTAGAGTATCAGACTATGGACTGAAGGGTCCTGGTTCAATTCCAGTCAAGGACACATGCCTGGGTTGTGGGCTCCATCCCCAGTAGGGGGCATGTAGGAGGCAGCCAATCAATGATTCCCTTTCATCACTGATGTTTCTATCTCCCTCTTCCTTCCTCTCTGAAATCAATAAAAATATATCTAAAAATTAAAAAAAAAAGACTGAATGTTTGCAGGGTTAGGTAGTGAAGGGATGTCCATCTTAGTGTCTTGTGTTATTTCCTGACAATTGGAGAGTAAGAGTGTTAGTGCTGGTTGAAAGTGGCACAGCAAAAAGATGCCATCGTTTGCATGAGTGCTGTGCACACTCACACTTTTGCAGTTGAGCTATGTGAGTAATAAATCACCTCTACCTTTGTAGAAGAAAAGTAGTTGCCCATTTTCAAATATTAAAATCCAAATGAGGCAAAGGAAAATGGGCTAAAATGATCATTTAGTGCAAAAGGCAGGATTGAGCCCGAGTTTCAAGTACAAAAGAAAAAAACAGAAAGCAATCCGGGTTCTTCTCCCTATACAAATTCCTATGGGAAAGAGCAATATACAGTGAAGTAATTGAATAAATAACGAGCTATTTATAAGATGAAATTTCTCTTCGTGGAAAGAAGGTCCTGAATGCAAAATGTAAAATATTTATCTTCTTGCTATTCACTATTGTTATTTTAAATAAGGCTGTCTAGTTCATTAATAATGAAGAAGACAGCAGAACACTGTCATTCTTGAGATGACTGTACAAATTTATAATAATTTATCATTTCTAGGTACTTGCTTTTATTTATTAGTTTTCTGCACATCAATATCTGCAGAATGGGGGCTATCAAATTGTTCTTATTTTAATGGATTCAGGAATGCTGCAGTGCACAGAGGTGAGCTTCCTATGAGGCAGTGTTCTGAGGAAGGGGTGCTTAAAAGGACTTGGATTTAGGTTTCTTTTCATGTCAAACATGCAGAAACCCCTAGTGCAGCGGATCTCAACCTGTGGGTCGCGAATGAAAATACATCCTGCATATCAGATATTTACATTACAATTCATATCAGTAGCAAAATTACAGTTATGAAGTAGCAACGAAAATAATTTTATGGTTGGGAGTCACCACAACATGAGGAACTGTATTAAAGGGTCGCGGCATCAGGAAGGTTGAGAACCACTGCCTAGTGCATTGCCTCCAGCCACCTCATTTTTCAAAGGAGACAAGTGAAGCCTAAATGAACAAACTGGTGGCGAAGGGGCTGTGACTAGAACTCTGGTACTTTGTTTCTTGAAGCACAGCTCAACCCTAGTGAGCCTCACACTGAACCACGCCAAGCACTCCATTATCCGGGAAGCTGCTCTCGGCCTCTGCTTTGCCTTCCGAATGGAACTGCGGTCTGGTGGGTGCGTGGAAGTCAGGACGCGATGGGAGTCAGCCTTGTCGAGGATTTCAAAGCTTCCTTAAGCAATTTTTCAGCCCACAACATTTGCTTTGGCTCCCCTCCCTGCCCACCTTATCATCATCTCATTCCCCTCCAGACAACATGTACAGATGCCGCAGCCACAGCCTCAATTTCCTTGAAGCCACCAACCAGTTCCTGCAAAGCCAAAGGGAAACAGAGGGGAGGCTGAGCACTCTAGGCTCAGTTTCTTCCTGGAATTTGGCCCACATTTCCTCTCTTTCCTCCAGATTGCTTGTCTCTCTAGTAACCTCAGCTTGTTTTCCAGGCTGCTACGGATGGTGAAACTCAGACCCATGTGCTCACGTGGAACTGCAGGGCCAAGACAGTGACGTAAGCTAGCTGAATGCTCCTAGAACTAGCCAGATGGTTGTCAACAAGGTGCAAAGTGAGGCTGAGAGTGGCTCTGCCAGGGAAAAGAGGGATGCAGGTAACACACAGGACCGGCTGAACTCCCAGTCTCATCTCAGACACCGCTGCTTTTAATTCAATGCCGTATTGCGTGGTACCTAGGCAGGACTAGCTGCTTTGGAGTCAGATTAACAAACATGTTTCAGACATTGTGTGGGGTATTAGAAATATGAGCCAAGAATAAGACCTGTTTCCCTGTCCTCCAATGATTTCATGTACCTTCTCATCATTGCCGGAAGATGATAAAAATCCAGACATCTGAGTTTCACTCCAAACCTGCTGAATTCAAATCTCGGGGTTGAGCCTAGGGACCTGCTAGTGAAATAAGCCTCCCAGTAAATCTCCCTAAATTCTGAGGGAAGACTAGTGAGAGAGAGAGTTTGGGGTGGTTCCAAATTTGAAGTGGAGGGACACTAGAAGTGTGTCCTAGATGAACCCTGATGGGATCCTGATACTTGGAGGCAATCTTTGATTTTGGAGCTGCTAGGGCTTTTGGGTGATTGGCTGGGCTTCTATAGGTGTGAAGGAAGAATGTCTGAGGCTAATTAAGGGAGTTTTTATTAATTTGAGTAGCCAAATCAAGTCAAACTCAGATTAGGAAATATTTCCTGATACCTACTATGGTCATGGCATTTTGGGGGATGAAGCTCTTCCCTTTCATGTAGCAGTGGACAGCAGACTTACCTATGTAATCCAGGGTTAAAAAAATAAGTAAAACTGTAGAGGGTCTGCCCTTGGGGAACATGGGGAACATCATCATATATGGGCGGGGGGCGCATTTAAATGTGCAACTGAAATTCTGGAGTGACATCAGCATCATTGTAATGTAAGATGTCTCTCCTTCCCCCCCACTTCTTAAAAAAATATTTTTATTGATTTCAGAGAAGAAGGGAAAGGGAGAGAGAAATAGAGACATCAATTACGAAAGAGAATCATTGATTAGCTGCCTCCTGCACACCCCCTACTAGGGGTCAAGCCACAACCCGGTGTGTGCCCTGACCAGGAATGGAACCGTGACCCCCTGGTTCATAGGTCAGTGCTCAACTACTAAGCCACACTGGCTGGGCTGTTACCCTTTTTAACAACCAATTAGGCATCCTTATATGAATAAAAGTGTCTCTGTGGGAGTTGTGGGATCCAGCACCATACACCAAGGGACCGGGGAGGAACCTTGCCCAGCTGTATATCCAGTAATAGGCAGGCAGACCTCAATGTGGGATGTAAAACCAGTGGGAGCCAGCAAATCTGCCCTAACCCCTCTGGCTGAGGTTGGGGAAGCATGAAGAGCATTGAGTTGAGAGGTATCCACAGACAAGAGAGGCTGTAGAGTCTAGCCTTCTAGAGGGGGAGGTTCCAGCGCTCCATTGGACAATCTGAGAGAAGAGGGGAGGGGAGGGGAGCTGAGTCAGATGCATATGGATATTCAATGTTGGGGACATAGCTTTTTTGAAGGCCCATGAAGTAAGTGAGTTCTCCTTTCCACTAGCTAATTACACACATTGCACACTTTCCATGGGCAGCCTTCTAACAGTTTTTAAGTGCTAACCTCCTTTCATTCTCCCAGCAACATGATGACTTCGGTATTATCATTCTACCCATTTTCCAGATAGGAAAATTTTGGAACAGGAAAGTTAGGTGAATTGCCCAATGTTATGTGGCAAATGAGCTGTAGACCCAGGATTGAAAGTTCAACAGTCCATTCCTGGGGCTTTGGTGCTATCTCTCAGCTCAGGGAGGAACGTGCTCTGCTACGCAGCATTCTCTTCCCTCTAGGCTTTTGCAGAAAAGCTCCTGCTGGTACCCAGCAGAGGAGAAGGCTGGCTGTAACCCTAGGAATGCCCATATGAAGGAGAGGTTAAGAGAAGCCAAGGCAAGCATGTCAAACTCAAAGGCTAACACGGGCCAAATAAACAAGGTTTAAGTTTATGTGGGCCGCAAAAAAACACAAGCTTCAATTTTAATAGAAACAAAGTTTAATAGAGACATGCTGAATACAAAGGGCTGAAATAAATGAGTCATCGTTAAAATAATAGAACATTATAATAAAAATTAATATTTTTTCTTGAACATTAACTTACCAGACACTGAATAACTACACAAATTAATAAATGTAACGCAAATAAACCTATTTTTTTTATTCCCCCAGAACGAAATATTTTCCTGTTGCACACACCAAACAAGTCAGTCCAC